AAAAAAAAAAAAAAAAAAAAGCTCACTAATCTCGGGGTGGCCCAGATTCAGATTCTTAGTATCCAACAATAGATTACGGCGTCATTACGCAAATCAAGTGACCATGGGTCAAAATTTCAGAATGCCCATTCTCTTTCTGATGTGGCTTGACCGCCTCAATGACATCAAAGCTGAAAAAAAAAAAAAAAAGTGCACTGCTCTCGGCGTCGCCCAGATTCTTAGTCGCCAACGATATATTTCAAACATCAACGGCCCGGAAAAAAGAAAACAAACCAAAACAAACAAACAAAAACAAACAAAAATAAACAAAAACAAACAAACAAAAAAAAAAAACGAAAAAAACAAACGAGGATTACCGACATTTACTGTAAGTGGGAACTAAACCCTTCGCTACCAGGAATCACCGCGGGTCTGGTCCTTGGCCTCTAAAACAACCTAAGAAAAAAAAAAAAAAAAAAAAAAAAAAAAAAAAAAAAAAAAAAAAAAAAAAAAAAAAAAAAACTCCTAAATTACGATAGATCATGGGCCTCGCTGCACTACTCTCGACATGCACAAATAGACAAAAAACTTGAAAAAACTTGAAAAGAGACGGCAACACACCTCTCAATGTTCTAGCGGTGGATTCAGTCTCATTTGCGCACTTGGAGCGTAGTGCAGCTAGGTCCTATGGTGTGCTCGAACTTCAAAGCTCCTCCCCTTTGTTGGCCTAAGGCGGAGCGGGGATGGGAAAAAAAAAAAAAAAAAAAAAAAAAACGAAGGGAGGGAATCAAGCGGTCGTAAATTTGTCCACGTCTTTTCTGTCAGGATTTGTACACTAAGACTGGCCATCCACCAACATTTTGAATGCGTCTGGACTCAATTGTGTCCAGATGCATTCAAAACGTTGGCGTGTCCAGATGCATTCAAAACGTTGGTGTGTCCAGATGCATTCAAAACGTTGGCGGATGGCGAGTAATGCACCTAGGCCCTAAGGGACAAGGTCTGGTGGATCGGGTGTGTCTCTGTGTACCATTTGGCATTAGCAAGGCACACACTCGTCGATCCACCAGACCTCGTCCCTTAGGGCCTCGGTGCATTACTCGCCATCCGCCAACGTTTTGAATGCATCTGGACACAATTGAGTCCAGATGCATTCAAAATGTTGGTGGATGGCGAGTCTTAGTGCAACTAGGCCCTTTTATTTAAGGGCATACTCACACGAGCACAGTCCAGCATGCACCTGACTGCCATTGTGGCCAGAGACCTGGATGAATCTGACTGCAATCACGTCCAGAGCTTCCTTAGAAAAAGGTCCTCGTGTGAGTATGGCCTACTAATAAGACCTGCAGACTGAAGCATCTTTTGCTGCCACCTGCTGTGGCATTCGACATCGCAACACATGCGTTGAAGCGAGGCGAAAACTGGGGCCTCGTCGTCTTCACTTATCGAAGACCTGGCCTGCTGCTGAAGCGTCTTGGCACCCCCTGCTGTGGAATTCAACATCGTGAATAAGCGCATTCAGACCCCTGCCATTTTCACTTATTTTTAAGATCCATCTTCTGAAGTGTCTTTGTGTCTCGCTTGATGTGGAAGTTCACGTGTCCATTTAGGCGGGTACAAACGAGAGCCCCGCCATCACTTGCTCAAGATCCGTCTGCTGAAGCGCCATGGTGTTGCTTGATGTGGAATTTGACATATGTAGAACACCTCCCGCCGTGGAGCATGGATTTATCCAGCTCTCTCAATACCGTTAACTGTTTTTGGGAGAGTGAATTGCTGACAGAGGACACCCGGTCTGCACGGCTCCTATCACCTTCTGATGCAAGAATCTGCAAAACCTGCAAAAGGATAAACAAGGATAAACAAACATGTGCGTAAGAAGAAGAAGAAGAAGAAGAAGAAGAAGAAGAAGAAGAAGAAGAAGAAGAAGAAGAAAAGACGAAGAAGAAAAGACGACGAAGAAGAAGAAGAAGAAGAAGAAGAAGAAGAAGAAGAAGAAGAAGAAGAAGAGTTCAGTTTTTAGATTGGTCCCTTGTGTTCTTTTGACACGTAGAGATGAAGACAGTCCTTGAAACTCTTTCCTTGTAGCAGGGATTCACACACACCAATGTGGGGCCCTTCTAAGCTCCAAAAGACAT